AATAGAAGACTTTGTTTTAACTGGCAAAGAGAATTTTGTTTTCATCAACGGACAAAATAATTTAAACTTTAAATGATTTTCTAATATTCTTTTTATGTTTTTTTTTTTCACTGAAGCATTTTAAGACCATTTCACCAACATATTCATAGTTTACTGGATAATTAAAACTTAAACTCCTAACAAATTCAATTATATTTTCTGTGACATTAACATTTGGCATTATTTTTTCAACAAGATTATCCTTAGTCCCTGATAGAAAATTATGTGAACTCTTCCAGTTTCTATCCACTTCGTCCAATAAAAAGTTGTAGAGATCCTGGAGCCTATCCCAGCATGCAATGGGTGTAAGGCATGATACAACCTGGATGGGACGCCAGTCCATTGCAGGGTACACACAGACAGACACGCATACACTCCCACCTGGGCCAATTTTCCCAGAATCCAATTTACCTACAGTACCAATGTGTCTTTGCACTGTTCGAGGAAACTGGAGTATCTGAAGATAAACCCACCCAAACATACTGTAAGAAGAACATACAAACTCCACGCAGACAGCACCCCAGGAATTGAACCCTGGGCTGCAACAATGCAACACCATCCCACCCCATGATGCAAAGTCAATTAGGAAAGGTAAATGTGTGCATCTGTTTGCCTAGCATATAAAAGGAATGAGAAATCATCCAGCATTCTTCCACCTGACTGTAGTCCAGGAAGTCTGCTGTGCATGACAGTCTAAGCATAAATGATAAACCACTCTTGCTTCCTGAATTGCAGGAAGCAAGACTGGAAAAAAAAAACGCCAGTAGGCTTTTTCAGATTTTCGGGTGCTTTAATTTATGAGCTCAAGTTTCATGGTTAATTCCTTGTATAGCTGGCTTAATCTTAACAGATCATCTGATGCTGGCAGTTTTTAGCAATCCACCTTCGATTTTCTACTGTAGTATTTCTGCTAACAATCTTTCCAATTGTTTATTGCATAACGAGAGACTTCACTAACATCAAGCAGGCAGCTTTGACAGCTATTATGCAGATTCTTTGTGCATTAAATTCAATCACAATGACCCATCCATCCTATGCTAAACATTAGGCAGAAAGAATCATTGAGACTATAGACCCCCTCAGATATTTATGAAAGGAGTGGTCTTCAAACGATCATGCACAGATGTTCATAGACTTTTGATCTGGGCTGGGAAAAACTGTGGCAGGCAGAAAGACGTTAAAACAGCCAGCTAAATTTTATTCATCCATATTTATTTAGCACATACTGTAAACATTTTCTTCACATGTAGAGTAGGGATAACCAGGGAAATGTAATAATGATGTATGAATCAGCTTGAACATTTCAGCTATGTCAGCATTTATGATAACACCTAGCAAAGGAGGTGAACAAAAAGGTTAATATTTATGTGACTGATGCTCATAGAAAAGCTACCATTATCTGTGGTTTTCTCAGGCTTTTTCTCAGGCTATAAACTGAATAGTAATACAACAGGATTGCTGTCCGCCTCTTTGATGCTACATTTTGGTCCTGACAGAATACTTCAATTAATGGGATATGGATTATTTTAGATTATGCCTCTTTCACTTCACTCGCTGTCTAGTGCAGAATAATACAGCACTGTCATGCTGCTCAGAAAAATCAGTTCAGGCAGCTTAGCAATTATGTCCTGATACGACGAAGAAAGCACTCGGATCAAGACTGTTCACACCTGAGCAAACCTCTAATGGCTAAATAATTCAATACACCGCCAACAACTTGATCCATAGCAATTTACCCATTGATCCAGTAGCTCATTTGGAAGGAGTAATCGGGAAGAATCCTTGCTCAGACATACAGCTCCTTACTATGTTGCCCTGTTGTGTTTGCAGCCATTCTGCTGTACGGTATGTAGGGTGGTACGCTGGTACGTTTAGCTTACACAAAGAAGAGATTCAAAGGTCATTAACAAAACTCTTCAAACATTATTATGAATATAGTGCCAATCCATTAACAAGGTGACAAATTAGAGCCAAGTAATTCTATACATAACTAAATAGATCTTCTAGAGAACCACTGTGGTGCAATGGTTAGGACTGCCTTTGTTCAATTCTGGGCCTGGGGGGGCTGTCTGCCTGAAGTTTGTATGTTCTCCCTATGTTTGTGTGGGTTTCCTCCCACAGTCAAAAACATACTGGTAGGTTAACCACCCCTGGTGTGAGCTTGCCCCCATAGTGAACTCATCCCAATCAAAGGGATAGTTAGTGTCCGATGTTTGCATACTGTGGTTAACCGTCAGGCCTGATTTAGGTGGTCACCTGGGTAATGCTCATTCTTCTGCACTTCTGGTCTCGTCAGATCCCAGCATGGCTGAATCTTTTCCTGGGATCAGGAAAATCAGGTTGCTACTGTAAATGGTGCTAGCCCAACCGCAGAACTCCTCCTCTGGGGTTCAGAATTTCCCGACACATACCCCAGCATAGTGTCAAGGGACACTTTCCTGGAGAAGGTACCATCCTTTTAATATTATCATTAGAGGCCATGTTCAAATAATAAAATTCTTAAGAGCAAGAGTGTTAGCCCTGGTGTCTGGGCTAAATTCCATTTTGGTATTACACAATCTGGCCTACTATTTTAGGCTACTGGCCTATTTTCCTAAATTAGAGTCCTGCACTGTAAATGGGATCCTGTAGGATTAGTGGGACCCATCCTAACTCACTGGGGGCACGGGACACTTCGTCTCTGTTGTGGGCACCATGGAGTGAATTGATTCAACGGCGGGAGGCTAGATATTGAGGAGTACGGGATTAAACAAGACTGTTATCTTGTAGATTATGCACAGAAAACGTGCACAGAATTTGGCACACAGAATAGCACACAGCTAGAAAGTTCCCTTCTTAACTTACTAGTAACAAATCATACCCCTCAGACTCCCATGATGTAATATACCGTATGTGCTGCTTTTTAGAACAGTGTGTACAGTATGTGAGGGCACCGATGCTAGCATGACAGATTCCAGTGCAAAGACAGTCAGTCAGACATTCTTTTTATCCACAGTAAGGTGAAGCAAAGTCATAGGTGAAGCAAAGTCATAGAAAGATTTAAATTTGTTTTTAGTACACAGGTGTTTACATAGCACAAGCAGGATGATTGTGATTTTGATCTGTAATGGACTGTCAAAACTGCAGCTGTTTACAGCTTTCCATATACCAATTTTGCGGGCTTTTAGGTTACTTACGCTTACAGCTCTGAGATACCAAAGACATTCCTTTGTTAAAAACAGCAGAGTAACAACAGTTCTTATTTCATGCAGTGTCTTTAAAAGCAACTGTCTCAAAGATTTTGGCATGACATAAAATCGCGCTAGATAAAAGAAAAAAGAAAAACAACTTTGTGGTAAAATACATTTTTATATATTCGGATGTAAAAGCAGGTCCCCGATTTGTTTGGGGGATGATTCTCCACAGTTCTGGAGGACAGGTGTAAATGTACAGTGAGAAAACACTACTGCACTCCAGTTATGGATGAAGTGGAAGACTGCCTTTCCATGTGAAGTGTTTTGTGATACTTTAGGCTTAAAAGCACTTTTTAAATGCCAAAAATGACAAGCTACTACTGTTGTTGTTATTATTGCATAATTTTGCTTACCACAATTCCTAGGATTATAATAAAGAAGGAGGGACAGGATTTGCTGAAGAGCTACTTAGAACTACCCTGATGTCAAGGACCATAAATCTTAAAATATTTTCAAATGGATTCGCTGAAAAACATTAGTGTTCGGTATGTGTCCTACCTTGATGTCAGGGAATTGTCCAAGGTATGTGTCCATGGAGATGAGCGCATGGTCCACAAGTTTCTGGTGGAAATCTGTCCACAGAAGGTCAGTATCCTGCAAAAACAACAGATTCAGGAAAACTTCCCTTCCAGTGGAGTCCAAGCGCAAGATCGTGAAATGCTGCACAACGTTGCAATAGTTGCAACCTCGAAACGAAATTGTTGCTACAAAATGTTTTTGCTCCACTAAGTATTAAGTTCTTCACTTCAGGATGTTGTACTTGGGCAGAAAAACACCAGGACCCAACCTGATAGAGAACTGAAGGTGGATGCAAAAAGCACTTTCTATAGCAAACTTGCATTTCCAGAAAAGTGGCGATATAATTTAAACTTGTATTCATAATTCATCCATACAAAAACACCAGAAGGCCATACAGCTTTAACGAATGTAAGGATTCATCAATCAATATTTTTAGGATAGAGTTTCTGACAGCGAGGCAGCATGGTGCTGCAGTGGTTACCATTGCTGCCCTACAGCACTGGGGTCCTGGGTTTGATTCCTGGGATGTTATCTGTGCAGAGTTTTTATGTTCTTCCCTTGTTTGCATGGGTTTCCTCCAGGTGCTCCTGTTTTTTCCCCCACAGTCCAAAGATATACCAAAAATATCAAAACTAATCACCCCCTTGGCCTTTTCACATTTTATCGCATTACAGTATGGAATCATAATGTATTTAACTGAGATTTGTTTGCTGTTGATCGAAATACAAAATACGCATACAACACCCCATTGGTCGCAATCCTTGGGGCCCTGGGTTCAAGGCATCATTGCTAAACACGACATCACTGTGCCACCATTCTAATCACTATGTTGATCCTAAATATACGCTCAAATGGCTTCCTGAGCAGCACTGTGACTTCCTGCATTCCAATGAGAACTATAAACACAAAAAGGAGAACACCGAGCTAGATGAGGCTTCTGAAGAAAAACTAAGGTGCTCATGTTGAACCTTTAAACACAATCCTGGGAACGCAATTAAAAATCATTTATTTTAAGATATCAGTTCACAAACAACGAAAACTTTCTGTTTGAGTATGCAACTTTACAATAAAAGTACTGTTTCGAAAAAGATGTGTAAGTATCATTAGAAAATTCAGCAAACGTTTAAAAACTTTTGAAAAGACTGAATACGTTTCAAAGGCACTGCACTAGTGCTTTAGAACTATTATTCCAACGAAAAACAACCAGATTCACTGTGGGGCTTAAATGAATATGCAGCACCGACAGGCTGAAAGAACTGCCACTTTTGTCAGGAACAGAGAAGACTGAGTCGCATAATGAAACTCATAAATTGCTGGAGATAACTACTGTACATAACCCAAGTATATTATGAATGTTGCTTATATATGATATATTGCTTATATAGGGATTCAAAATCTGTAGTTAGGAGTACAATATCTAGAACACACCATCATGATGAAAGACATCACATCTGGAGGTTAACTCCATGATGAAAGGGGCAAACAGTCAAATTCACAGCTGTGGCTCAACTTCAACAGCCCTACACAGAAATGGAGGAGGAGGTGCTCAGGTAGTACTATTGTTTTTGATCTTAGCCAAAGTTAGTACACGGAGATTCAATATGATGAACATGGGTTGCCTTCTAAATGAGTCTGCTATGTCCTCTGTCCTGTGAGTAAGTCCTGAGAGGACGGAAGACCGCAGGAGGGAATCAGTTTGGAGACGAGCCACACAGAGGTGAAATCTGTCATGTTCTCAGCGACTCCTGCAGCCTTGCGGGTTCCAAACAAATCGGACTTCATTTCCTCTCGTGATTGGACCCAACCTGCAAAGGTTATTCTCTTCTCCCCATGGCTTTGACATCCCAGTGAAGGACCTACTCCTCTTGGAATAATATATAACATTACTTTATTAACCCTTTACAATTTCTTGCATTAGGAATTATCTTTTCACATACCCCAGCTTGCTCTCCATGAGACGCACAGACAGGGAGAGAGCCTGGGGTCAGAGTGCAGGGTCTGCCATAGTACAGCGCCCCTGGAGCAGTTGGGGTTAAGGGGGGCTCAGGGGCCCAACGGAGTAGGATTCCTCTGCTGGCTGTGGGATTTGAACCGGCAACCTTCCAGCCACAGGCACAGAGCCACCGCTCCGCCCCATCTGGTTTATCTGGAATCTGGTTTAACACGAAAATAGTGGAGCGAACCAAGCAGGCAATCCTGGAGGGGACTATGGAAGGGGATCTGGTTGTTTTTCGTTCGCACGTTCATTTTTTGTTGGCTTAGTTCCCAAACTAAAAGTTGATCCCAAAAAAAAGCAAGCAAGTATATTCTAGAATTAACGCTTGACATATGATCCGAAAGTAAAAAGTAAAAAAGGTGTATAAATTGCCCTACAAAAATATTATAATGTGCTTAAACACCATGGAGAATGTAATCTAGGAAACATGAACAAACACAGAGATATACAGAGCAGCAGACTGCAACTCGGCCATGATCCTCATTGACAGACCAAAAACAAAGAAGAAAAACAAGCCCAAATGTACTTCAATCCAAAATCCTCCAGCAATGGTGTTACGATGCATTCTAACCAATTAGTTCTTTGTAGGATTAAAAAAGATGAGCACCTATTGTAATAAACAAGGGGTGTAAACAAAATAAATAAATAAAGCATAGGTGAGGTTGAAAACTGATCTTTACATCAGCTTGCCCTGGAACCAAATTGATACAAATTAGCAAAAATACCTCATTAGTCAGAGAATGTCCAGCAAAACAGCCTTTTTTTATTCCTGGCACAGTGCAGTTTCAAAGAAAAGGGATAGGCAACAAGTTAAAAGACGCCATCTATTTTCAAAAACGAATGGACAAAAACCCAGTGGTTGTTCACTGATATTTTTAGACAAATAACCTTTCTCACTATACCCTCCCTAGATAAAGGCAGCAAAATACTACAAGACATCACTTCTCCCTAGTGAATTCTCCAGGAAGGAAACTGACATTTAAATGAAAAAATAACACATGCCTTTTTTTCTAAATGTATATTTTCTCAAATTCTCAACCATTTACCTCAAAATCGTTGTGTCTTTCAAGGTGAAGGCCCCAAAAGCCTGTCAAAACCAGTGTTTACTCACAATACGATGCCACTTCAGTTTTATAAATCAATAACTTCTTGTTTTTTTTAGCTGAAATTCTCCTCAGCTTACAAAGTTTTTATTTTTTTATCAGGGAATCTTTACTCTTCTTACCTCCTACTCATATAAGGAATTAAATTCACCATTCTTATTACAGTACCACCACTTCACAGCTTTTCTTTAAGTGTACTGAACCAAGTGGTACTTAGAAAGATTAATGGTCATACAATAATCAATAGAGGTGTTCTTCTGATACCTCTATTTCTGTGGCATATAACAGGAAGATATAAAAATGACACCCTAGGATTTACTGAGTAATTCAAAATTGTTGTCCACACTCAACATGATTGTCTGCACTTATTTTATTTAGGTAACTGCACAGTGCAATACAGGTTTATCAAAACATCAGAATGAGTTAGAGATGGGATGATGTTTACTTTGCCTAAAAAAAATACAAAAATGTTCAACGCAATCACTATAGCAGGGCAGAGAGCAAGACCATATTTTCTCATAAATAATTCAATTCGAGAAAACATGAAGAGCACATTTACTCACACCGAAGTATTCCTTCAATTCAACATGAACCACAACAAACCAAAAATAGCGTTCTGTTCTTTAAAAGTGCAGTGGAAGCTTCCAGAACCATACTCAGTAGACGTGGATTTAAAACTGAAAACAGGATGCAGTTCTTTACAGTCTGTGGCTCTGTGGAACAAAATAGCCAACCGTGTTGTTGAAGCCAATATCCTGGTTTCTTTCGAGAAATGGCTGGATGAGGTCATTGGATCAATTAATAACTAACTAGCAAATGAGTTAGATGGGCTAAATGGCCTCCTTTCAGTTGTAGTGTTCCTCATACTCTTCATGATCAAAGTCAAAGAGTTCTTTTAGGACTGCTCACAAGTGCCCAATGACCTCCACAAGATGACAGCTGCAGTATGACAGTGTTTCAATGCATACATGAAGTTCAAAACACATGGTCAACAGCACATAAAATAACTGTTCCAAAGTAGCCACAGCTCAACATTGTGGTTGGAACTTAAGTTCACAAAAACTGAGATCTGAAAGGATGGAGGAATGGTCAAAACTCCCCTCTCAAGACATGCCAGAGCCTTATACAGTGTAGCATAGTACAGGAATTACTTGTCAGTGTATTTTCCAAAATATCCACCCATTTTCTAAACGCCATGTCCAAAATAAGGTCGCAGGAGAGCCGGAGTCTATCCCAGCAATCAACAGCTTGGATACACCCTGGACAGGACACCAGTGCATCACAGGGCTCACACAGATACAGACACCCTCACACTACGGCCAAGTTTTAAAGAAGCCATTTAACCCACCAGTATGCAGTATCTTTGGACTATGGGAGGAAACCAAAAGGAAATCAGAAGAAAACCATACATACAAGGGGAGTACATAAACTCTGCACATAAGCAATGCTCACTACTGTGCCACTGAGCCACTCAAATACATTCTAATATGAACTGAAACATTTTCAAATGTAACACTGTCATACTGTTTCTTGTTCTTTTCATGCACTTCAGTTTAAGATTACAGTTTAACATTCACAGATTGTCTTCAGGAAGGGCCATTCTCCAATCGGTAAACGATTCTGTTACATGCTGTTTTTTTGCTTGCTTTTCATAGGATGTGAATAAATCTGGAGGACACTGTAAGGCTACTTAAACTTTTCAATAGGCACACCACTGCAAATTCTTCAAGCAAGCTGCTCAGAGAGGCTAAATATTTAATTTGCTCCAAACCCTGACAGTTCTCTCCTATATTAAAGAACCAGTGCTCAATAGATAAGCAGTCCTTACCTCTACTATTGAGTTAACTTCATCTTTTCCATACCACTCTGGCTCATAAACTTCCTGGAGGCACTCGGACAGCTTCTTCGATGCTTCATGCATCGCTGAGGAAAGGACAAACCACACAGATATCAGACCTTCAGGACATACTGTAAACCACTAAAGTGCATACGTTTGGATAAACGGTACAGCATGAAGCGATTCAAGTGCGATGCTACTGTAAATCGGTGTACTTTTGCTGCAATGGAACAAGTAAAGATTCGTTCCACCGTGAAAAATAGAAAGGAGAAACGGGTGTACACCAGGGTGCTGCATATACAAATATATCAAGCACTGTTAAGACCAAATATACAATGGCCATTAAAAACAGTTCACACATCACTAACGGATACAGAAAACAAAAACAATGAACAAATGTCGGAGGTGCTCTCTGGAATTATACCAGAGGCAGCGACTCTTGTCTTCAGAGCTGTCAGTGAGGCAGCTATCATTGCTTTGATTTCCACAGGGAGAATTTGTTTAAACACACAAATTTACTGGTTTAAATATTATAACGCTTTATTACATCACATTATTTTACATTGCTCTTATACATAACGGTTTAAAATGCATTCTAAACCATCTATCCATTTTCTAACAGTTTTAACCAGGAAAGCTGAAACCTATCCCAGCAAGCAAATGGAGCATGGCAGGGTACACATTAGACAGGAAGCCTGTCCATCGCAGGGCAGATACAAACATGCACACACTCACACCAGGGCCAGTTTTACCAGAAGCCAATTAACCTAGCAGTAAGTTTCTCAACTGTGGTAGGAAACAAGAGCACCCAGAGGAATCTCCTGCGAAGACGAGGAGACCACACCGATAGTTAACCAGGAACTGAACCCAGGAGCTCAGTGCTATGAGCCAACAACTCTTAACCACTGAATCCTACTCTGTTGAGCCCCTGAGCAAGGCCCTTAACCCCAACTGCTCCAGGGGTGCCATATACATGGCTGACCCTGCGCTCTGACCCCAAGCTTCTCTCCCTGTCTGTGTGTCTCATGGAGAGCAAACTGGGGTATGCAAAAAGACAAATTCCTAATGCAAGAAATTGTATATAAACAACCACATGGAGATTCTTAAATACTCTCCCTCACCTTATACTGGAGTAATCCACACACAAAGGCCATACAGACTTTCACACATACCAGACACTGACCTTTGATCAAGTTTTCTGCTTTTGACACCAATTACTCATTGCAGGTGGAGATCATGGCTCAAACAAAGGAGTAACTTTTACAAAACAGATACACAGTACATCTCAAGATATCACTCAAGAAGTACCTAACCATCACATGGTTTAACTCAAATTTTCACCAGAGTGTACAAACTATGCTCATGTAGATGCTGTCATATAAAATGTGTCTGCAGTGTCTTTTATTCAGTCTGTCCATGGGGCACTATTTGTACCATTTTAAATGTCTGAAGAGTACCTTATACCTAGGTATGGAAACGTGTAACAGAACAACTGTCATTGTGGGGGGAGTTAGGCTGGTTGAGGTTGAGGCATGTATAGAACCATATAAGGTTTAATGCTTGTTTAATGCTTGTTTAATAGAGAGACTGGGGCAAAATCTGTGCACGTAAGTTAAATCATTACCCACAGGTGAAGTAAGCTTTCTGTCTGACTGTGTTTCCGCAGCAACCGGCGTGACTGACAGGTAGAGGAGGCGTGTCCGGCTGCCATGATAGAAGCAGCCTACTCAACAGCGCCCCCACGAGGGTGGGAGGAGGAAAAAGTCCTTAAAAATCCAAATAAAACCTGATACATACTGGATGCCTGTACAGTACATATAACCACGGGAACAAACACTAACTGGAAACTAATACTGTGTATTAGTATGGAAAATAAAGGGAAGGGAAATACGACCCCTTGAAATGACCTGGTGTTCCATTATTCCCAGCTGGCCATCGCCATACCTTTCACAGATGTTAAATATGCTCGTAGATCCTTCTGGAGCTTGGTTCCTTCCGTCTGGAAAAACAAAAGAGAAAAAAAAAAGAGCTCACATGTAATGAAAATCAAAAGCACACTGCGATGGTCACCGCTGTGCAGCCTTGGAGTGTAAAAGGATTGTTAGGCGTGCATTCATGCGTTTTGAAGACCACACCACACTTGAATATAGAATTTCACATCAGGACCAGGACCTTAGGACCTTACAGGGTTGTCCTGAAGCACTTTACTGAGAATATCAATACACCGAGAGGAATTAAAAACACAAGACACTGTTGGTGAGAGCTGGAGATGAGACTATTTCCCTCATAAATCATAACCATTGAAGGACACATTCTGTAAAAGAAATGTAAAGTGTATTTACCCCCTATTTAAATGGTATCTAAACCCCTGTGTATTCCATGCCCACATACTATTTTACCTGTTTTGGGGGTGTGCATAGGTTATTATGTTTTGGAAAAAGGTCTCTTCTGGTTTCTCCTTAATTCTAAGAAAGGATATTCCTTGTCAGTAAGTTCTGTCTAAAATGTTTAAATACAGCTAACAGGTTGTTGTTTCTACACCAGGAGCCTCTGTATTCCCTTGTGTGACATCCCTGGAAATCTTGGTTTTGAACTTTTGATTTGATCATGGTCTTAGGACCATGGAAGGTACCATGGTCCTGAGAGATAGGAGGGGATGATGGAGGCTTCCATCAAACTTTATTACATGGGGGGGTCCCCATTGTATTGGTTTAGCTATACTTTAGGGGTCCTAAAAGTTGAATCTTGGAGAGGAGCAGCAGTGAGACAGACAAGTTTTATTGTGTGTGCGAAAATAAAAATGTGTTCATAAAATAAGTAAATAAAATGTATCCATACTGCCATACCGGACAAGGAGGAAGAAACTCACCAGCTGCTTGTTAAAATTTACAACACTCTCTTCAAAGAGTTCATCCTTTGTCTCGTCCGCCTTTCCCAGTTTCTGGAGAACCTGTATCAAAGACAAATCACAGTTTTTTTTCAAGTTTTTCCTCACTTACCTGTCTCTGTAGACATGTAAGAATGGCCCATCACTTATTTCAGTATCTAATTTGCTCGAAATACTGTAGTCGGGCGTTACATTTATTTTCACCACAGTAAAAAAAAACACATACAGCAGCACTGCAGTACAACTGAAATGGTCAAGATTTTAAAATGAAATGACAAAAGTATATCAACGCTCAGTCCTTTGAGCTTAAGACAGACACCAGAATCAGGGTGTGAACGCTACCATAAAATTAAAAGGAGCTAAATCGAAGTAGAAAGACAGGAGATGCTTCCAGAATAAGCTGCTACTATATATTTAGTTGTCAAGGCTGAGTCGGAGAAAATGATAAGTGTTCTGTTGAGTTCTTCGATACTGTAGGTCAATAGGAACTACACAAGTAAGGCTTCACTTACCTGTAGATTTTATAATTATTTTAATTTAAAAATGTGTTTTGCCTGATGTGTCTCACTCCCTAATACTGAAAAGATGTGAACCAAGCAGAAAGAGCTCTTACTGTCCAAACTCCACCAGGCCTTAATGAGGAGGATCTTAATACCCAGGTCATTACTAGACAAAATGCATCTTTTCATCTGACTACAGAGTGCAGACTGGATTTTTACCCAGTTATGTAGGGCATCTAAGTTTGAAGCACTAACTTGGATTGACAAAAAACCAGGACAGGCCTGCTGTGAAGTCCTGCACCATTCACAAGAAAGTCCTGGCATTATTTCTCCAATGTTATATAAAACACGACACATCACCATATTTAACTTTATCAAAAATAGCCAAATAACACGATGTCAGGAACGTTCCACTAAGAAAACCTACAGCATATGCGCCTAATAACAGGAAAAAATCTGTTTCATAAAAACGCATAAACGATGAGATCTACTGGAAGGCTTCATTTAGAAGTACAGTCTGAAAAACTTTAAACTTTGAATGTGCTTTAAAAGAATAGAAACAAGCTATTTAAAATGAAGAAAATGAATTCTTTCCAAATGCTAACTTTTCTACTACTGCTGCTTGAAATAGTTTAAACTCTAAAGATACCATAATGCATTTTGAACTTAAAATATCCAACGCAAAGAAAGTGAAAACCACAAGGACCACTGCTTAAATTGAAGCAATATCTAATATGTCCTCCACACATGAGTAATATATACTGTACACTACCTCATAGGCAAACTACTCACCTCTCGTCTTTACTACAGCACAGCATTGCTGGGGTTTTGATCATTCTGAGGATGTGGCTATAGGTTTTGCAGTATTGCTGACTGCTGATGTTTCTAAAAATTCTGAAGTTACAGTAAGTGCCCATGGTTTCAGCCCATGGCCTTTTCAAAATAGCGAACATGCTGTGCTGCAGTACGGAGGGGACGTGCTTAAATGATTTCTGGATGTTTTACGAAAAAAAAAGAAAAAATCACAGGCAAAGGCCATTCCTTCACACGCACACAGAGAAATGAATCAGTTTCTTAAAAAGGCACGTTTGATTTTAACTATGGCCCTATCAGGGTTGTTCTCTATGCGGACTCTGCACATGTAGGCTTTGGATACCTGACAGACGAGGTGCCTGAAGATTGCAACGTCAAGACTACAGCTAAAATGGTAGTCTACCATGCTAATTATCATCCCTTCCCTACCATACAAGTTAGAAACACGGTCAATGGCAAAGACACTTGACAGTAAAATGAAGTCTTATCTCCAATGCTTTTTGTAGAAGAATGTAGCTTTCAAATGGTAGGACAGACACACCAGTATCCAGTTCTCTCCCAGGCAGGTGCCACAACTGTACCCCTGTTGTACGCAGGACCTCCACTATTCCAGCCAGAAACTATTTGTACTGCTCACCTTTGGAGTTGAAGCTTCTCTGAATTACTTCTGCCTCTTGACAGATATGATGTAATCTGTTTTGTCTTAGGGAAAGGGGAAGTTTTAGAAGGGACAAGGTGCTGAGCTTTTTTACAGCGCAACGTCTTATAAAAACGCTGTACTTCTTGTAACAAATTGAGTCTCTGGTTGCACTTTGCAAAGTGGCAACAGGGCTCCCAATATTACAATATTGAAATAAAGACCTTACTCAGGTGAGAACTCTCTCTTGTGGCTTCCTTGATAGGTAAATTTCCACGACACGTCTTTTGCTTTCAGCTCTTTATTTTGTAACTCTGGCTGCTGTTGTGCGATCCGTCCTTGTCTCCTGAGGTGCGTTTTGCTCAGACTGCAGCTTGACATGTAGACGTGTGGCCTTTCCAGCTTCCTCTGGGCTGTTCTGCTTCTCCTCCAGCTCTTCCATCAGCTTAGAGATTTTGGCTTCTAGATGACGGCCCTTCCCATCAGCCAGTTCCAACGTTCTCAAAACGCTGCTGGCCAGCTCATCAGCCGGTTTCTCCTTCTGAGCCTCAGCCTGCTTGCAGGTTCACTCTGCTGCAGTCAGGTTCTCCTGCAATTGCATGAGCTCAGCCTCCAGGCTTTTGGTCATCTTCTCATTCACCTTGGCTGCAGTCAGCACTTCCTCCTTGGCAATGCCGGCTTGTTCTAGTTCCTTCTAAAAGTCCTTCATCGGAGCCTGAGGTTCATGCAGCTGCTTAATAGCCCCTTCTCAGCCTTTGTTTACAGTTTCAGTGTGGTCCTCGACTTCCTTGAGGTCTCTCTCCTGCTTCTCCTTTGCTGCAATCTCCAGGCCTCTCTGCTCCTGCTCATCCTCCAACTTGGTGCCCAGTTCACACACCTATTTGACCAGCTGTCTCTTTTCAGCGGGGGCCTGTCGGATATGGGCTTGAAGACCTCCCACCTCATTGTTTCTGACCTTCACTTCTGCTTCTGCTCTGGTCACTCTGGTATGGAGCACACAGTGCCTAAGTCTCCTCAGGGAATTTCCAAATAAACAAACTCTCAGTCTCTTCACCAATTCAATCCTTGGTCAGTCCTTCTCCTCTGGTCAGTGGTGCACACAGGGATTCTGTCTTCTGTCCCCTCCAACAGCAGGCACTCACTACCCCCAGAATGACACAGGAAACCACTGCTTTCCTGCTTTTTAACAGTTACCTGACCAATTGACTTCCTGCAGCTGGTCCTGTGAATGTGAGCAGGAGCTCACTCCCCCCCCAGAGAAGTCTGGGAAATGTAGTCCCTACGGGGCTATGCTCTCACAGAATGTTTTGCAGCTATTATTAATAGGAGCTCCACATTTGAACTCTGCCTCTAAATTATCCATTCCATTTGATCAAAGAAATTACATGGAGTTTCTCTTTCATTTATTTATTTAATAGTCTTTAAATCAGAAACACAACTGTACTGAACATTTTTACTGGTACTGATGACAAAATGGCTTCTATTTGGTCCTCTTTTGCTCAAAACAATACAGACTGCCATTATGGAGGGTTCTTTTCAGAGGAATATTACTGTTATATCCCATTACTGACAAAAGATAAGTGTTGCACAGTTTTGTCTATCCCTCTGAACATTTTCAGAGAAAACTGTGCAACACTTATCTTTTGTCAGTAATGGGATATAACAGTAATATTCCTCTGAAAAGAACCCTCCGTAATGGCAGTCTGTATTGTTTTGAGCAAAAGAGGACCAAATAGAAGCCATTTTCTCATCAGTACCAGTAAAAATGTTGATGTGTTTACACACAAAGCTCTATGCTAATTCTTGCCAGTTTGCTTTAGGGCTAACAAGTCAGAGATGACCACTTTAAACTTTCATCCTTTGCCTTCCCTTTGGGACATCAAAATTAAAAACTAATTTCCCACATGGATGCATGTAAACAAGAAAGATGCGATCTGGGTCCCCTTCCGACCAGAGAGCTCAACGTTCTAATTAAAAACATACTTTTATTCCTGGATGTTTACACAGTTGTGCTACAAGTCAGTTTTAACTACATGTTTTGTTTTTTTGTTTTTTTTATGTGGCGCAGTAGTTGCATTGCTCCCTCTCAGCACTGGGGCTTTGGGCTAAATTCTGGACCTGGGGTGCTGTCTGTGTGGAGTTCGTATGTTCTCCCCGTGTTTGCGTTGTTTACCTCCCCGTCGTTCCCGTTTCCTCCCACAGCCCAAAGACATACTGGTAGGTTAACTGGCTTCTTGGAAAATTGGCCCATTCCTGCCAAATGATCTGAGCTCTTAACAGTGCAGGCAGAGCTATTAATTTGGACGTTTTTGATTTAACACCCTTCTGCACTATATACTACTTTTTTTAATATGATTTTCTGTCACCAACACTATTCTTCCCTTGAATAACCAATCTAGTATAGTAAGTGGTCTCCGTGCTATCTATCCTTATGCTCACCTACAGAATAAGATTCTGCATGACTTGGTACCTCAGTTCCTGTCTGAGCTACTATCATCCAACTCCCCACCTCGCCACCTGATTCTGGTCTCCTATCTGTCCCCCAAGCTCGTCTACATTGTATGGGTGACAGGACCTTCTCCTGTTTAACCCCAACTCGCTGGAACTCTATCCCCAAGGATATCAGTGAGTCACTTTCCCTAAACTCCTTAAAATCCAAACTCAAAACCATCTTTAGAAGAGCCTTCACTTAACTGGTTCCATTCTTTACCCCTCTGCTCCTATTTTATTCAGTAACCCCATCTACTGTCTTCCCTCCTTGAATATTCTCATTGTGTATTTTTTGTTGTTTGGTAAAGCGTTTTGAAAAGCCATCTTTAAAGGAGCTATATAAAATAAACATTATTATTATTATTTTTATGTTCTGAAGGACATAGGCCCGCAGAGGTGGAAATATAAGTGACATGTATATTTCAGATATATAGAATATATAGGAATATACAGGTAGTTGAATACATATTACAGAATGGTCAGTTATGAATCACAAAATTAATCAAAATCATACCTAAAGCATGTAAT